AAATCCAAAAATAACAATTTGAAGTTAATCCTCCATTACAGCTTTCAGCTCAGAGAATAATTGAGGGCAGCTCCAGCCAGCCTATTTTACCACTGTACAGGTGGTTGTCCGATACATGAATGGTGAGTAATGCCAAGTCTTCCCTTATTTTGTATAGAGGCTCTGGCCCCTTCAATAAGAAGCCTGTGAACTCTTCTTATTTTTTAAGTCATACCTCACTCAAGTGCAATGGTAAACATTCACATGCTATTGGAGTTACAGCAGTCATTTCATATACCAAGGCACTGAAATAACCATCTGCTTTGAACCTGCTAAAACATCTGAGTATATTTTAGATTTATAACCATAATAAAATACAGTGATTGTTCACCATATTGAAAAGAGGAACAAACTAAATTTTTGGTTAATTATTCATTATCCTGGGAAACAATCTCTGCAAGGTACAATTAAAACTAATTTGCATGCTGTTGATAGTTGATCTGGTGAAAATATTCAGTTAGTGTGTTATGAGATCTGGTCATAAAACCCTAACGGGGCCATAGAAAAGCCAAAATAGTCTTCCCAGAGTTCTTTTGTGTGAAAGGGAGTTTGCTTCACCCACTGTTTTTTTTTTAAAGACAGCTCTAGAAAGTGCACTTGCTTATGAGCATTTTATCGGCTTGGAAAAATGCTTGCATGATATATTATCTGGTATTTTGACTTGTTAATAATTCATAAAACCAATCAAACACCTACATTCAAGTTAAACTCAAGTTCAGAAATGCATTTGGCACTTATAAATAATTTGGGCTACACTTAATAATGATATTGCCAAAGTTAAACAGTTCAATCTGTTCAGCTGTATTCACAGCCAAAGAAATTTGAGCACTGAAGAAATCTCTGGCATTTGACCCAGTTACGCTGGTTTAAACTTGCAATGTGGAGATCAGCCTATGCGTTTGCTACCAATATATGCAAACAAGATTTTTTTTAACTATTTGCCATACTCCTACCCTGCAATTTTTTAGAAAGCAAATTTGAGATTGCTTCCATCATGACCCCAGACACAGTATCCCCAAGATAAAGACTATTTTAAAATAAATCACAGGCCTGCAATTATTTGCTGTCTTTATATCATGGTTATGGGACACCTAGATTTTCCTGACAAGATAAAGCTAGGAGATGGAAATTTGTAGCAGGCTGGGTCTCCTTTTAGAAAAAATGGAGACTCTAAAGGTGGGTTGAGCAGAGATTCTAGGAATAGCCAAGTGGAAATCAATGGGCATCATGCTTACCTACCTTTGTATTAGCAGAATGGACAAAAAAAAAAAAAACTGGCCAGGAAGCCCACAATCCTATTTTATCTGAAATCTACCAGTAATTGGCAAAGGGGCACATATTTATGATTCTACTGGCAACATTATTTCTAGGTCCCATATTGACACAGGCTGTCTTGTTGAGCTTGACATAGTATGAAAGCAACATCGATCATACATCTCAGCCGTGAGAATTCCCCCTCAGGCTTACAACATTCTTCATTCAGAAACAGGGCATCTGTTATTTTTTATCTACTGTATGATAAGGGCAAGAATATAACCTCAATTGTTTTGAATAATACATACACACAAAACATTGGTGCACTGACCAGCCTGCTACACTTTCATTTTAGTTTCAGCTGCTTTTAAATTTCCTAAGGGGGGGAGGGACTCTTTGTCAATGATATTAAACTATCTTATTTACCATCAGTAGCAAGGAAACTACCAAAAATTTACTATTCATCTAAAGCAGAGTAACAGATAATAGATAACAGATAATCAGAGTTGGAAGGGACCTTGTATGTCATCTAGTCCAACCCCCCCTACCCAAGCGGGAGGCCCTACACCATTTCTGACAAATGGCAGTCCAATCTTTTCTTGAAAGTCTCAAGTGATGGCGCTCCCACAACTTCCTGGGGGCAAGCTGTTCCACTGTTGATTGTTCTCACTGTCAGAAAGTTTCTCCTTGTTTCCAGGTTAAATCTCTCCTTGTTCAGTTTCCATCCATTATTCCTTGTCTGGCCTACAGGCGCTTTAGAAAATAGTTTGACCCCTTCCTCCCTGTGGCAACCCCTCAAATATTGGAACATGTTATCATGTCTCCCCTGGTCCTTCTCTTCACTAGACTGGCTATGCCCAGTCCCTGTAACCGTTCTTCATATGTTTTAGTCTCCAATCCCCTAATCATCCTGGTTGCTCTTCTCTGTACTTTTTCTAGTCTCAACATCTTTTTTACAATGTGGTGACAAAACTGGATGCAGTACTCTAGGTGTGGTCTTACTAAGGCTTTACAGAGTGGTATTAATACCTCACTTGATCTTGATTGTATCCCTGTTAATACAATTTAGGATTGCATTAGCTTTTTGGGCTGCTGCTGCATACTGCTGGCTCATATTTAGCTGGTTGTCCACTAAGACTCCAAGATCCCTCTCACAACTACTGCTATTGAGCCTGGTTTCACCCAGTCTGTATGTGTACTTTTGGTTTTTCTTGCCTAAGTGTAGGACTTTTCTCTACATTGAATTTCATTTTGTTAGATATGGCCCAGTGTTCTAGTCTGTCAAGATCCATCTGGATCTTGAGCCTATCTTCTTGGGTGTTAGCTATTCCTGCCAGCTTAGTATCATCTGCAAATTTGGTAAGTTCCCCTTCTATTCCCTCATCTAAGTCATTAATGAAGATATTGAAGAGTACTGGGCCTAAGACGGAATCTTGTGGCACCCCACTGCTTACTTTCCTCCATGTAGACTTAGACCCATTAAGGACTACTCGTTGAGTACGGTTTGCCAGACAGTTGCGAATCCATCTAGAGGTGGTGCTATCTATTCCACTTTTTTCTAGCTTACTAAGAAGTAGGTTGTGGTCTACTTTCTCGAATGCCTCACTGAAATCTAAATATATTATGTCCACAATATTTTGCTGGTCTACTAATTTAGTCACTGTGTTGAAGAATGAAATAAGATTGGTTTAGCATGATCTGTTTTTAACAAACCCCTGCTGACTGCTAGTTATTACTTTATTTGTTTCTAGATGTTGGCAGATTTGTTTATTATCTTTTCCAGTATCTTCCTGGGTATTGATGTTAGGCTGATTGGTCTATAGTTTCCTGGGTCTGTTTTATTTTCCTTTTTTGAAGATGGGAACCATATCAGCTCTTTTCCAGTCCTCTAGTAGTTCCCCAGTGCTCCAGGATTTTTGAAAGATATGGTGCAGTGGTTTTGAGATGACCTCTGCCAGCTCCTTTAAAACTCTGGGATGTAATCCATCAGGCCCCGGTGATTTGTGTTCATCAAGATCAGACAGGTGTTCTCTTACTATTTTTTTGCTTATTTTAACTTTTATTTCTGGTCTGTCTTTTACAGTTCTGTTTTTGGTGGGTTGAGTTATGGTTTCTTTTTGCGTGAAGATGGATGCAAAGAATGAGTTAAGCAGTTCTGCTTTCTCTCTGTTGCCTGTTACTTCCTTGCCATCTTCTCTCTTTAGTAGAACGACTGTTTCCTTGACTTTTTTCTTGTTATTTATATGTTGGAAGAAACTTTTTTTTATTATCTTTGACTTTTGTTGCAAGTCTTTGTTCATTCTGAGCCTTTGCTATCCTGACTTCGTCTTTGCAGATTCTGGCTATCTGCTGATATTCTGCCTTAGCTGTATGTCCTTCTTTCCGTTTTTTGTACTTGTCCTTTTTTTCTTTCAGTTTGCCAGAGAGCTCTTTGTGCAGCCATGCTGGTTTCTTCTTGGATTTCTTGTTTTTCTTTCTCAGTGATATTGTGCTGGTCTGGACTTCTATGATCATACTTTTTAGAGTTTCCCAAGATGAGTTGTTGTTTTCCCCTTTAGGATTTTCATCCATGGAATCTTTCCCAAGTTCTGAGTTTATTGAAATCAGCTCTTTTAAAATCCAAGACTCTGGTGTCATTATGTTCTGTTGCTTGTGTTTGTGTTATGTTGAATTCTAGTATGGCTTGGTCACTCTTACCCAAAGTTCCTGCAGTTTCAATTCCCTCTATCACTTCTTCTCTGTTTGTAAGAATTAAGTCCAGTATGGCTGTCCCTCTAGTTTCACTGTCTACCTTTTGGACAACAAAGTTGTCAGCTAGGTTGGTAAGGAACTTATTTGATTTCTAACTTGGTGCAGAATTAGTTTTCCAATTGATATCAGGATAATTGAAGTCTCCCATTACTATTGTTGTGTTTCCTACATGTTTGTTAGTTGGCTGGCAAAAAGGACATCTATTTCTTCTGCTTGATTGGGTGGCCTATAATATACGCCTATGGCCATGTCATTCTTTTTTTCTTTTATATCGACCCATATGCATTCTAGGTGGTTTTCACCTTTGGTTTCATGCATTTCTGTAGCTATAGTGGTCCTTTACATACAGTGCAACTCCACCGCCTCTTTTATGGGATCTTTTTTTTTTAAATAGTTTGTATCCTTCTACCAGTATGTTCCAGTCATGGGTTTCATCCCACCAAGTTTCTGTTATTCCAACTATATCATTTACTATATATTTACCTTCATGTATTCTTAATTCGAGTTCACCCTGTTTGTTCCCCAGACTTTGTGCATTTGTATATAGGCACTTGAGATTTTTATGTCTGACACTGTGTTTACTGTCTCCATAATCTGTGTTGTGCCTGCCTGCCCCTACTTTCTTGCCACTTGTTTGATTAATGCACATGGTATGACACTCACTATTAAGTGCTTGGTTTTGGTTGGCATCAAGGTTGATAATCTTACCTGCACAAACATCTATTTTGCATGCACTGGTATCCTTATTAGTTTTAGGTTGCTGGGGACAGAAATATTCTGAATCCATTAATTCTCTGATGAATTTCAGCTGTTGTATTATAAAAACCCATTCTGAGCAAGCATAGTAAAGTAGGAAAGATAGATTTAAGACTACTTTCAATGAAAAAATCAGATTATATAGCCCAGTATTTAAGAGTACTTTCAATGAAAAAAATCAGATTATATAGCCCTGTATCCTGGGAAAGGTTATGCATTGCTTAACTACTATCAAATCTTTAATACCAAAATGAACGAGTAGAATTGATTCCAACATTCCATTTATATCTTTAAGAAAAGGACGGATTTTTCATTTTTCACTTGAAATCCATAAAGCGTCTTTTGGAGCATACCAAGTAAAGGATGAGTGCTGTGCTAGCACAGAAAAGCACTTTCTCCTGGCTGAAGGAGCGCATGATGACTATGCAGAGCCAGGCCTGATTTGGCTTCTGCTTTCTGCTGCGCACATATTTACATTTGATTTCTAATTTCTGATTGGCCTCACATGGGTCAGACAGGAAGAGCTAATGGGCTGGATGTAGCCTGTGGGCGGTAAATGCCCAGGTCTGCACTAGAGTGAATAAAACTTTCTGAATTGAGCCACAAATTTAATCAGAATATCTCATTTAAAGATAGAATGGATGTTTAGTTTTCCATAATTAAATTTATTTCCATAATTTTACATTTCCCTGTCAAATTTGGAAAAAGTTCTTATATACAATGGCTACTTCTTTGAACAAATTGTGATTACCATTACTTGTAAGAATTGAATCAGCACAATTTGACTATAAAGGTGCAAGGGAGGAATTGGCATGGTTTTTAAAGATGATTTACCTTATTTGTCCAAATAACTTTGGCAATGAAATCTCATTGCTTATTATGTATGTGTGATTTGGCAAACCATAGCCTAAAGGAACTGAGAGCTAAATGAAATGAAACAAGAATCTTTTCAGACATCAAAACCATTTTCACTGCAGATAAAGAGTTCTGTTTCAGAACTTTCTTTCTGATAACTGCATGAATTTTCCATGAATCAGGTCCTTTTGCAGTATTTCCATCACTATATTTTTCAGTACCTTTCTGGATATTCAAAGAACGTACATTTAGCTGCACTAGAGTCACAACCAATTACAGAACATTTGCAGAGTGTGCTAAAAAGATTAATGTTTAGACTAAGAGGCTAAAGAACACTTGGGGCACACATTAAAAACCCTTCTTTGCTTAAATTCTAATCCAATCATCCCAATTCACTTGGAAATCAATGTTTAATGACAAAATATTTCACAATGAATGTATGCCACAATACACAGACATTCACAGCACGTGAATGATCATACTTTCAGCAGCAAAAGCTTCTTTTTGTATTCACTAACACCTTGCTCGCTAATCCTTTTTCCACATTCTGAAGAAAAAAAAGGTTCACGGAATTAACCCCAACCTATGACCAAAACAAAGGTGGGGAAGTTAAAGGTACAGGCCTTCCGGAGTGCCTTCCTGTTTCTTATAAAGAACATTTTCTTTTGATTTTTTGAAGTCTTCATTTGTTACTTTCATCCTTCGTTCACGCAGAGCCATCAAACCAGCTTCCGTGCAAATGGCCTATTAGAAATGGAAGCACTTGATTAGAAAATCAGGAGTCTGATTTGCAGGAAGTGCTAAGAACCAGTAATGTTCAAACAAGCTGGTGGCCCTTATGTATGCTAGAAAGCATTGGGTTGAAAAAAACAGCATTAAATATTCATTAATTAGAAACTAATGCGATCTGACTAATGCACAGCAAACATTACTAATATTAGATCAACTTTCCCTCCCTAATTGTAATTCCCCTGAAAGAGTGTAACATGTTAGTCACAACAGAGGTCAATCACATTTAATTGATGTAGCCACCAATATTCCTAGTAAAAATAGCCCCACCAATTCTTTACTAGCTTTTTACATCAAGCATGCAACTCTCAATACAGGTGGCCAAATGTTCATTTTCTCTTCCATTAATGACTTTTCCCTTCCCAACAATGTCCATTAATGCCCTTCCAAGTATTTATGGGGGGGGGGGGGAGAAGAGAGAGAAAATACCCCCTTCATTCAGAAAACATTGCCGTAACAAGGAAATATTTACTATTTGAGGTAGTCCTCAACTTACGACCAGAATTGAGCCCAAATTTTTTATTGCTGAGCAAGACAGCTGTTCAGGAAGATTTTGCCCCACTTTAACGACTTTTCTTGCCATAGAATCATTGCTGTTATTAAGTTACTAATAAGGTTGTTGAGTGGTTTCCCATTGACTTTGCTTGTTAGGAGGTCGCAAAAGGTGTTCACAGGACCCAGGGACATGGCAACCATCATAAATATAAACCAGTTGTCATGCATCTGAATTCTGATCATGTGACAGCATGAAAGGGATAAGTCACTCTTTTTACAGTCAATAAACAAATGGTTAGAAAACTAACTGTTGTAAGTCGAGGACTGCCTATACCAGGAAGTAGAGAATCCAGTGCTTTTTCAAAATGGGTGAAAAAGAGAAAACAAAGGCAGTGACTGGGGCTTTCTGAAACAAAGGATATTTGTAGGAAAGCCTTCATTGGAAAGGGGTGCAAGATACTGCATGACACACATATTCAATTGGGTGGGGTGGGGGAAATCATTTGTTATCAAGGATTTTACCTTTATATCTGCCCCAGACAAATCATCTTTAGCCATTATCAACTCATCTAGAGTAACATCATCTGCCAAAGTCATTCTGCTGGTGTGAATCTGAAAGATGCGTTTCTTTGTTTTTTCATCTGGCAGAGGAAATTCTATCTTCCTGTCAATACGTCCTAGGATTTAGAAAAAACAATTAGCTGCTTCAGATTTTTGCCTGTGGAATCAAAAATAGAAAGCTTTCCTTGGAAAATAATACCATTATTTAGCCTTGATACTATCTCAGAAAATACTCGTGCATCTTTGGACAGTTGTTAGATGCGTAGAATTTCTTTTTTATTTCCCCCCCACTTCACACATACAATTATTTCACCTTATTGTTGGATCAAAACATTTCTTCTTCCCTCAAATTTCATAAGCCATTCAAATATTTATATTTTACATTATTTCACGTACTGTTCAATATCAAGTTACATGAATAGGCACTCCAGAAACTTTCTAATTTAAACCCAATCACATATATTTGTGATTGATAACCAACACACACACACTATATATATATATATATATATATATATATATATATATATATATATTTATTTGTTTTCTGAGGTTCTTGCGGGTATTTGTATGTGGATCTTTGGTTATTCGGGTTTTCTCCCGCGTAAAATTTGAAGTATCTAGGTGACGTTTCGATGAAGTCTCATCTTCAGGCTTGTCTTCGGTTCTGTGCTCCTCAGAGTAATGTGAGCTTGCAGCTGCTTCTTCCTTTTAACAGACCAGAAGCTGCATCGCAGCTGCATCACTACCCGCTTCAAACCCCTCCGACCCATACATGAAGCGAACTGACGCCCACCATGAAGATGCGGCATGACCACGAACGTGAAGCCAAACAGCAGGATCACAGCTCACCAGCTCAAATCCCCCAGCAACTAAGACTAACCTGAGCACAACTAAGCCCCCACTTGAACAGAACACACCCCCAGCCAATCAGAACACAGCCAACCCCCCAACCAATCAGAACACAGCCAAACCACCAACCAATGAGAACACCCCCCCACTCAATCAGAACACAGCCAAACCCCCACCCAATCAAGTCACACCCCCACTAGCAGTTAAAAGGAAGAAGCAGCTTCAAGCTCACATTACTCTGAGAAGCACAGAGCTGAAGACACAAGCCTGAAGATGATGAATGAGACTTCATCGAAACGTCGCCTAGACACTTCCAATTTTACGCGGGAGGAAACCCAAATAACCAAAGATCCATATATATATATATATATAAAATGTATATGTATATGTATATGTATATGTATATGTATATGTATATAATATATATATATATATATATATAAAAGCTTCAGGAAGAAAGCTATCAAACTTATAGAAAATGAAGTAATTCATTCTCTACAACACTGGTTTCTCCCTGAGCAGGCTAAATTGAGTGAAAAGTGAATCTTTTGAAAGAGCAAAACATTTCAAGCTTTGAATGTGATCTGATTCTCAAGTTTTTTCAACTTATTTTCAGACTGGCCATTCTAATGAGAAACACAGAATGCTCTAGGAAACACCATGACAGACCACATTGTTCTACATGAAACTAATAATCAGAAGCAGTAAGATTTTAAGTAGTTAAATATAACCATCATACGTTTTACCTGGTCTGATTAAAGCTGGATCCAATGTTTCTATTCTGTTAGTAGCCATTATCACTTTTACATCTCCACGTGAATCAAACCCATCTAATTGGTTCAGCAACTCCAACATTGTTCTCTGGATTTCTCTTTCTCCCCCTGAGTTAGAATCATACCTTTGGCATAGGACAAAAGATACCTACATTGAATTTAGAATACCCACAGAAAACAATATTTTTCTTTACCTATAGTAATCCAATTCTACCATTCTGGTAGAAGCAAGGAATATACAGAACAGTGTTCGCCTAGGATAAGACATCATTTCTGAAGGTCAATTAAAAACTCTTGGATTAGAGTACAACAGGTTCAGCAGCTGAAAGAATGCTATGAGCAGCACTTTTTAATTTCCAAGTTAAGATAACACTAATCCATTATAGCAGTTTTGTATTTGTAGCTATTTGCCTGTTCCAAGTGATTCTTATTAAAGGATGAACCTTCAAAAATTAAATATTAGATAAGAAATTATTATAAGCACATACAGAATTCATCACCTCCTTTCCTCTCCATGTTTACTCAGTCAATATTAAAGATTATCTTTCTTCAACAAACATACATACATGATGTATTTTTATTTATGCACATATTTGCCACTCCAAAAAAGGATGAAGCTGTAAAAATTAAGTCAATATTAAATGAATCAATAACAAATTAAAGTTAACTGACTGTAAAATAAAGGCTTGTTCTTAAATCTATTCCTCCATCTGCAAATACACACATACTCTGCCTCCTTGTAGCAGCAGAAAAAAAAGAGAGAGAGAGAGGACACAGAATGAACATGGGCTATGGGAAGAAAGAGAAGAAAAATGGCAGATGAAAACTTATGCAGACTTAATCTGTAGTAAACGTTATTGAAGTGAATGGTTGGTACTGTACTCCTAGGAAGGTGTTTTGGATTTCTAATCTTCCAGAAATGTTATGAAATCCAGCCAGAGTCTTTCTACATTCAAAGGGGAGGACAGAGTGATACTCTCATTAACTCAATTGACTGACAAAGATAATCACAATGGTATTTCCCTTTCTCCTGACGCCTCCATTCCAACTATTTCTTTTAAGGAAATATATCCAATAAAGTTTTTCTCACCCATCTGCTTTTCAGGCCTATCTCTTGCCTCTAGTACTTTATTCGTGGCAAACATAAAATAATGTTCCACCCCTTCAGTGCACCAAGTGATCAACATGTTGGACAGGATGCAAAATACCCAAATTCACCTCCCCACCCCCCCGAATTTGTAAGGGTATGGTGAGGATAATAGCAAAGGAATGCTCCCAGTTTTGAATCTCCCCCCCAAAATATACAGGAATGAAACACAGTAATAACTGTATAATACTTGACAAATAATTATTGAGTCTGAATTCATTAAAAAGAAAAAATGCTTTCTCACTACCCATTCCACATTAGCCCTGCTCCATTTGTTTTTTAAAAAATGTCAGGTTTTAGTAAAATATTTTATAAATTAAAGAAATAATATAGCTCAGACATATTAGTCTGAAGCATGCTAGCATTAATGTGCCCCTACAAGTATAAGGGTTGACCATTGTCTTACAACTGAAGATGGCAGCATACAAGCCACTTCTAGTGACCCAAACTATTACTTCTGAAAACCAATTAACAAAAAGGAAAGAGTGTTAAAAGATATGCATGTGTTGCTCAGCATGGGAATGACTATGACATCCTACCTTTTGGTACCTATGGCATCAATTTCATCAATGAAGACAATTGACGGGGCATGCTCCTCAGCTACTCGAAAAAGTTCTCGAACAAGCTTTGGTCCATCTCCCAAATATTTCTGGATAAGTTCAGAGCCAACCACTCTCAGGAAGGTGGCAGAAGTCTGATTTGCCACTGCTTTGGCTAATAATGTTTTACCTGTTTAATTATAAAATGCCAGAAAGTTAGCACATTCTCCAACTTGTGTTACACATACATGCATGAAGGCAACCACTCAAATTGAATATTGACAAAAGTCCGCAAGTTATCTACTATAGATCAAGTTTGGCATTTTAAGTCAATAAGCAATGGAATTATACCCTAGTAGTGTTTACATGCTTGAGACACATAAACAGATTTTTCCTATTTGAATTCACTGTCTGAAGTGCAGAAGGAGAAGTAAAAACAGATAAACTGATTTCCTGTCAATTTAACAAGATGCTCAGAAAGTGCTCTTTGTCGCTTTCATATTTGGAGTAGGAAATTATTTTATTCTTACATGGTGAATCCATGCAAAGAAAGTAATAGAATGAACTAATCAAATCAACCATATTTCCTTAAAAGACAGCAGTTTCAGCATCAAAGAACTAACAGATCTCACACACTATGTCTATGCAAGTTAATATGAGAAGTATAGTTTCACTTGGGGTGCAGAATCATCCATAATGTCCTAATTTTCAAAAACATTTCTTGTAATTTTCCATACTTAATATGAAGGGAAGCGTTTTGGTTCATATATTTCTATCTACTTTCTCCATGTGTGTATGTGCATGAGTGCGCATGTGCATACACATCTCTAGCATTATCCTTTTCCAAACAGATAACATCTGATTTGGCTTGATAAGGTAACTGACCTCTGGTTCCCCATGGATACACCATGTTTCGCTAGATAAAATTTGCCCCCCCAACCAACCCCCCCCCCCCCCCCCTTTCCCCCCCAAAGTTGAAGAATGAAGCCTGATTGGCTTTCAGAACTCTGTGGAATGGATCTAAACAAGTACCCGGATGTTAATCACAAATTGATTACCACTTTGTATAAACTGGACAGAAAGCCAAAATGAAAATAAACCATCATATAGATTTACTAAACAATATCAATTCACTTAAGATTCCAAATTTACCAGTGATTCTAAACGTCCATGTTTTAAGTTAACCAACTGTTTCATCAAAAAATCAAGGTAGAAATCAAAAGCTTTCTTATAGCTATTCTGGTATTATTAGTTATGATAATTTTTAAGGTCATTAAAATTACTATAAATAGTTGATAATTTTTGATAATTTTTTTCTTTTAATTGTAAGATAGTAAAAGTTTATAGGAACTGATGTAGCATTATGTCTATGGAGATTCTCAATGATCCAGGTCATGGTTGTCCCAAAGATGTTTTTTCAAGAGGCAACTGGATTTCTTGCTTTTCTTTGAAGATGTTTCACTTCTCATCCAAGAAGCTTCTTCAGCTCTGACTGGATAGTGGGGAATGGAAGGATTTATACTGCTGGCAGATAGCCGGTCATTTGCATTGAAGTAGCATTACTTACTGAGGAACTGGTCTTGTCCTAAGTCTAAGCTAAACAATACATCCGAATAATGGAAGAGATCTGACTTTGGCTCCTAAACTCAAATTTAGGAATTTCTGCCACAATGCTCTCTTCCCTTTACCTCAGGATGCTCTACTGGATCCTGCCTGCTATACTTTTTCCCTCATGGAAACTTTCTTCATTTCTGTCACTAGTGACTCATATCACTGTTTGAGAAATACCAGTATCTGTTAGTTTCTGCATCACATATCCTGAAGACACCATATGTTTTGTTTGCAACTATCTGATTTCTTTCTGATGGGGGTAAAAAAGCTAGATGTAAATATGTTACACTTTAGCTCTTCTTCAAGCATGTTTGAAGACCATCAGATCATAAAGACCAATTTCAAAAACAGCAACAATACATTCATTATAGCTTTCAGCCAATACAATGAGACATGTACTAAGGCAGAATGATTGGCTTTATTGATATAAACACTTCAATATAATATTATGTAATAAATGTATTGCCACATGCTGATATAAAAATACAAGAAAAAATTACCTGTTCCAGGAGGCCCATACAGAATGACCCCTTTGGGTGGCTTTATTCCCATTTCTTCATAATACTCAGGATGAGTCAAAGGTAATTCCACAGATTCCTAGAAGGAAGAAATTACATATATCTTCAAAGGTTGATCAAGCCTTTTATCAATCTAAGGCTTCTCCTGGTTAGAAAATCACAGATGAAGGCACCGCTCTAATGGCCAATATTAACATTTACTAAATAAATGTGCTTGCCATTCATGGAGATGAATAATTTTCAACCTGAATTCCTCTATTCTGGAGTAACTGTTTCCTTCCTCAAATCTACTGTTCATTTGAATTAGGTGCACTTCAAATAATTACATTGCCTTTTTTTTAACACAACTCCTTCAAAAGCTGTGCCTGGCTTTCACCATACATGTATCATATTTCAGTCACAAAATGTTTGAAAACAAAAGATAATTCAAAATGCAAATAGTGTTCAAAAAAGAAATTACAGAGCTACAAATGATGGAATCAATAAAATTTATTTTTGGTGAGATTGATCCATTATCAAAGAAGGGAAAGAAGGACTGACTCATCTAATCATATATCTTTATGCTACATACTGCATGTTACTCCATCTCAGAAAATTCTTTAAAAATATTTCTCTGTACCCTTTTGATTGACATACCTAGAGATTAGAGCTGGTCTAAGTATTTAGGGTCTTAAACTGGGAAGCCTTTAGGAAAGTTCTGAGGTACTGGGTCAGTGAACATATCTCAGCATGGGATCTACAAAGACTTGTATGAATGGAAAATATATGCATATATTCCTTGGGCAGAAAAGCATCTCCCTGAAGAAGAGATGGTGGCAGTGGCAATTATCAAACTATTATTTCAAATAACCAGTTATTGAAATAAGCAAAATACCAAAGCTATTTAAATAAAAGTCACATGGAACAGAAATAGAAGTATTGCAATTCTAAGGCATCATCTAGTAATAAAATGTTCTGGCATTTTCCCCCTATTGGACAATGCAGGAAATATTAATACCTTGATTTCTTGAATTTGGTTATCCAGGCCTCCAATATCTGCATATGTCTCCTGTGGGGCTTTTTCCACTTTCATCACTGTAACTAAAGGATCCGTGTCATCCATCAAGACACCAATCACAGCATGGACCTGTTAAAAGAAATGGGCAGAAGCATCCAATAATAGGAAAGCATTTAAGTTGTTGCCCTATTACAGGTTTAGCATAAAATAGAAATTGCAGACTGATAGGACATTTCACAAGGTCAAATTCAGCTCCTAAAATCTACTTCTTAGAGAATGGCACCCTGTAGCTTCTGGTTAAATGTAGTTCAGTTGATGACAGTTTCTTTCCCAAACCACCAGAAAAAGAGAAGGCCTCCTGGTAAATCTGAAGGTTATGGGGACACACCTCAACCTTTTTGGGAAGGGATGAGCAAGTACCATGGATAAGCCAGATCACGCCTTATATTCTCTATATAATGACAGGTTGGTTGGTTCTGATAAACAAAACATCAGAATTTCATCTTAACTTGCTTCATTTCATTTTCGATGAAGGGCATTATCATCTCTGTTACTGAGGTTGTTTAAATTTTGCTAAGTCTGTAGCTTTTAAAAAAAAAATCATAACCAAAAGAAAAAAAACACCCTCCTTGTAAGCTGTAAACCCAGCATACAGCTTGGAGGGGAGGCAATAAACCAACAGGCCACCAAATTTCATTAATTTTTTCCTTTTAATCTGAATACTGTAAGAATGCTATAGGCCTGAGTGGTTTCTTTTTCTCTTTTATCTCTGTAGAAGGGAATCTCCTATTGTTACTGGTCATATACAATCAGAACAGAGAGACCACACTGTCTTCATTAAGGTAAAACTCTATATCTTAACAGCTTTAATCTAGATAATGAATATTAAGATATTCATAACATTTATCTTTTAGTGCTTTCAATTACAGTGGAAAAGCTAGAATTACCTTATGATTAAGTAGAACTGAACATCCTGGCTCTAGCAAATCCTTGTCTACAAAAGAAAGAATACTGACATAGTGTTCTGATCCCACGGATGTGGACACAATAGCATGATTATCATCAATTATCTCCTCCAAGGTCCCTACAGACATTGGAGTCCCTCTCAGATCGTCCACCTTTGACCTCTCTTCCTGCAAACAAAGTACACAAAAAGAGGCTATGATTATGTATTACATACTGCCAGGCATCCCAACAATTTCTATATCTATTACACAATTAAGAAATGACAATTTTATGCAACCTCAACAATCCCCAAAAAGAAGAATTGTCCTAGTATTCTCAGTATTAACTATTTCACTATTAACACCTAAGTATTCAGCATCTAATATCTCAATATTAAGACCTCACACAAATGCCATTTATCTTCACTTATAGCAGATTAGCAAGTCTCTTACTCTGGAAAATCCTAAAATTTATACATGTGTAGCTCCTGCTAATGGAGTAAACTAAAAAAAAACCAAGCATTCTATTTTAAAAACATAGAAGCAATATTTGTTCATTTTATAATAAAGCAAAGCTGTTCAAAAACATTGCAAAATCCTGAGAGTTTATTAGCAATTTTGAATACCACCAAGACTATATATCTTAATTTGTTTTTGAACACTATTTTTTAAAAAAACAACTATATTTTGTCTTACTAAAATTAGTTTATATACATTAGCTAAATAGAAAGTTTAACAAATAGATCAAAGTGTACAAATAGTCCTCAATTTACAACCATCCAATGACTGTTCAAAGATACAACAGCATTGAAAAAAAGTGAGTCATGTGTCACCATTTACAATCTTCCCAGTTCTCACAAGCAAAGTCAATAGGAGCAGCTGGTTCACTTAACAATTATTTGACTCACTTAACTGCAGTGATTTGATTAACAACCATGGCAAAAAGGTTATTAAATCTTTTGTAAAATTGGGTACAACTCAAAAACTACCTTGCTTAGCAATGAAATTATTGTCCCAATTGTGCTTGCAAGTTACAGTCTACCTTTATTTAAAATTCAGATCAATTGGAATGAAAGAGTACCATGCCATTTTAGAGATTTAACATTTATTCTTTTTCGTATAGTCTTTTTTTCATATGGGCGAAGTTAGAAGATACAAAATAGAGGATAAGTAAGTTGATAACAAACAAACAAACAAAAAATCCCACAACCTGACAAATTTAAGCAGTTTCTTCTTCCTATTCAAAGCATACATACCTCTTGCTTTTCTTCCAAAGGTTTCATCTGTTCCTGGTTTCTAATGAACTCTTCCTCCATCAGAAGATAATCCTTAATTCTTTCCAGCTTCAATAATTTGAGTCTGCACTGAGTATGAGGAGTGACTACAATTAAATAAAAGAGTTTCTAAATGTAGGGTTTGGAATAATGCATTCAACTTGTTTAGGTGAATTGAAAAAAGGGACAACGAACTAAAATGATTTTGAAATTTCTATCTTTTGTCTGGGATGCTTCTTGTTCCTATTATTTTGGGCACTGCTTTTTGATGGAAGAATTGTCTTTTTTGCATGGAACTGATGTAGCAATATGTGAGTCTAAACAAAATCCAAGGACATGATTTAAATAAATTCTTGAGAGGGCTGCCTCTTATTCCAAGGAACAATAAATCATGTTTTTATGTTTATAATCAATTCCTGAAATCAATTAAAAATGTGGTTTCTTCCAACTCTATGATTAAATAATGTTCTGGATCATATGATATAGTAGCCTAAAGATGAAAATATCTAAGTGTTTGCTCTATTTTGGAACAATCCACTGTGTAACCTAATTCAGTCCCAGTAATTCTTTAGCCCTTCAATGTTTCAAGCTGAGAGCTTTAAAAACTAAGTTGCTCAAGTATGAAATGGGGGCTTTTTGCATGCTGAAAAAACTATCCTATATATTAACTATAGCTACTCAGGGAAATGGCACAAACCATGCTTACCCAGCGGAAGTTTGCTGGCAGCATCTGGTCCCTTTGTTTTCTTCTTCTTTTTCCCCACTCGGGTTGGAACTGGGGGTTCATATTTCTTCTTTTTGTCCTTTTTATTTTAAAAACCAAGTTAAAAAGTAATTTATAGAAAGTACTGTGCATCTAAGATTCCAACACAAGTTCCAAAAGGTTTTGTCAAATATTTCAAAAGTTCTAAATTGCCCAATATTTTGTAAATCATCTAAACCAAATTATAAAGTCATTATATTGCTTTCTAGATAACTTGGGATTTCACTTCCATAATTCTCCACGGCGTAGAGCCTGATTACTTGAGGGATTGTCCTTCTCCCATAGTGTCTGCTCACGCCAATTCGACCTTGGCATGTTCCAGATTGAAATGTCATCTATTGGGACCACAGAAACACATCTTCTTTGTAGCAGTGCCTGACCTCTGAAATTAGGATGGCCTCCAATCTGTTGCTGTTTAGAAGAGGTGTGAAGACCTATCTCTTTGGGACTTGTTTCATTCCTTGTGGTCTCCCCCACATTCCATTTTTATTTAATAATTTTATAGTTGTAAGTGGCCAGAGTTACTGGGAGTCTGGCAGCATACAGCATAATCAATTATAATTATTATCAGTGTGCCTACAGGGAAGGTTTCAACATTGAATTATGAACTATGAGTTAACTTAACTATGGTTATTAGAAACAAGACAGTTTCAAATGTTGAGCAGGCCCATAGTTTCTATTAAATCATAGGGTCCAGATTAAATAACAAACGATAATAAATAAAAATAAAAGAGAAAAGCACATAAATCATGGCATATTTAAATTGACTACTTATCCATATACACTACAATAAAAGCAACTACATAATTCTGAAAATGAGATCATTGCAATGAAAATGTAATATCGGTTCATAATATATAAAAAACACAATATTTGATTTTCTGAGTTTTTATATAATAAGGATAACTGAGGGTAAATATATATTTTAGCTTCTTAGTTAGCATGGAAGATGTATTCTACAAATATTCTCTTAAGAAAGCACACCAGGTAAAAGTTATTTTTTCTTACTTTGTCATCCTTCTTGCCACCTCCAGGACCATGTCCACCACTCTGACTCTGACCCTACATTCAAAGAGACAAAACATCAATGAAACTCAGAAAAGGGGGGGGGGGAGGCAACTTAACTATAAACTATGTACAAACTCAAATTCAGTTTTTCCTTCTGAAACAACTGTCAAAAGAATGAAGATAGAAGTAATTTCCCCTTCATTCTTCTGACACTATTAAAAAAAAAAATCCAGAAAACTCTCCAGAACAGGCAAATGCTACACAACAAAGATAAGAAAATGCTTTTGATGTGCAAGGAAAAACCCATACAGACAACACTGATTTCCTCATGGCAATTTATTTAAACAACTATATTTCTACAAATACTATGTTTATTTTGGTTAAAAAATCAGTCAAGAATATCTGTGCATTTAAGGTCACTAAATAACACTGGACATAATTAACGGAATAAATAGCAAAAACACTCTTTGGAATCACTGAATTGCTATATATATAGCTTGAAGTTGACTGGCCCAAGGAGTAATAAGCAAAAATTTTCTGTTTTGGTGTCTCATGCAACCCTGGTGTAGAAAGAGAAACTGTAAACATTCCCACGCCACACAAGGATATCTGTAAATATAATGCATATCGTGTTTATCTCTGTATGTGTATATATAGGGAAAAGTACCTATATACACAAGACCTGCACACTGGACAACCGCCCAGCCGTTGAAAGAAAAATAGTAGTTTAAATGGTGGTGACGGGAAGAGTGCCTGATTTTCTTTACTGACTGCCACCCGAAGACGGTAAGAAAATCGGTACCCAAGGCTACTTTGGCTTTAACCGCCCTCCCCGCTCCAAATGCCATTTCCCCGCACTTCTCAGCCATGGAAACGATGCGATCATGACATCGCATAACAGCGCCGAAAGGACCCAGGCCGGGAGAAAAGGATACCCTGGCTTAAGGGAATCGGTCTCAGCCAACGGACACTTGGAAGAGGCTCCAAACGGGCCTTAAGAAGACCACCCGCAGCCCCCCCACCCCCATCCCCAACCCCCCTTTTTTCCTCACCATCCTGCTCCCTCAGAGTCCAACCCCGGAAACCGGACGGCTTCCTAGAGGAGCCGGAGCGGAAGTAAGCGCGATACGGGGCGCGAGGAGGCTCAATTCTCTGTTCGGGGGAGAGAGAGAGAGAGAGAGAGAGAGAGGGGAAAGAGGGCGGAGTTAGGCGATCGTCATCGTCTCCCAGAGGGCGGAGATGGGAAGGGAAAGTTGAGGGTGGAAAGGGTGAATTGGCCGTTTGGTGGGTAGAGAAAGCTTCTTAGCCGTTGGTTTGTGACGGGTGGGTATGCGTGCTATAACTAACGATACCTGGTGAGACGAGAAAGCCGTACTAAGTCGGGAGGTGGGAGGGCGCAGCATATCATCGTGTTGCTGCTTGCGGCAGAATGACTCCTTTTTCGATATCTACGAGACGAAGAGATGAATTATAAAATAAATGCATTATAAAATAACTGACACGGCATATGAAACATATATTTCATATGCCGTGTCAGTGATCCGTGATAGCTCTAATTTTGCCTTGCTTTGAACCGCGGAGAGATAAGTCAGCAGGAGCCTAAATTAAATCATATTTTAACGATAATCTCTCGAGAAGCAAATATGTCCATAGGTTAAAAGCTAGGACACCCAATGGCATAAATGGAAGTAGGAGAACCGTTTTCCTAAAGGATCAGAACCAGAGATCACCCAATGAAATTGAATCCTGGAAGAATCAACCTGCTAATAATACTTTACTATTCACTACTGTGAGATGTAGTGCTGGCTACCCATTGGGTTGGCTTCGAAAAAGTGTTGGACCCTTTCATGGAAAACATGGGAATCAATGACTTTTAGCCTTCTGAGGTCAGTGTGTCTGCCTCTGAGAGCCATATGCTGGGAGAGCTGTGAGCAGCTGTGAAGTTGGTTGGCCACTGTGTGAACAAATTGCTGGACTCGATGGGTCAGAGATCTGATCCAGCAGGGTACTAGTTATATTCTTACATACAGGTAGTCCTCAACTTTACAACAGTTCATGTAGTGACCAAAGTTACAATGGCACTGAAATGACTTATGACCATTTTTCATACTTATGACCATTGCGATGTCCCCATGGTCACATGATCAAAATTCAAATGCTTGGCAACTGACTCAGGACAGTAGCAATGTCCCAGGGTCATATGATCACTTTTTGTGACCTGAGAAGCAAAATTCAATGGGGAAGCCAGATGCAACTGTGTTAGTTGTTTCACTGCAGTGATTCACTTAACAACTGTGCAAGAAATGTTGTAAAATGGGGCAAAACTCGCTTAACAAATGTCTCCATAGAAATTAGGGGCTCGATTGTGGTTGTATATTTAAGCCAAACTTGTGGTAATTCACTCCCCCGCCCCCATGGAATTAATAAAGGACCTCCAAATATGCAAACTGGATTTCTTATGTCTATTTCTCTTCTTAATAATATAATATAGTTAGAATAGTAGACTTTGACTAGTGAGATTCAGCTCAAAGTACTGACTTAACCACACAGGTCATTGGATGAGTTTGGATCAATTATTCTCTTCCATCTCTATCTCATAGGGTTATTAGAGAAATAATATCAGAGAGACTACCATGTATCCTACCTTGACCACTCATAAGAAATGTGAGATTTAAATACAAAATATAATATTGGCACACGTATTTAAAGTGTCCTGTCTTCCTCACTATTGCCTGGCAATTATCTAATTATCCCCTCCCTATTTTCTCTCCTTGAACAGGACTGCTGGAATTTGAATTTTAAGAGCACACCTATAAAATTGGCCATACTTCCACCATACTCTACCTTACTCTGTAGTTTCTTCCCCAAACACCAAAAATGTCAACCTTAGACAGTCTACTATTGACCTCACTCCTTTCCTAAGAGGTCTGTAGGGGGCATGCATAAGCGTACCAATGTCCCTGTCCTATTGTTTCTTTTATTTTTCTTATATGTACCCATTTCATGTATTCATAACTATGTATATACTTATACCTGTTATCTTGTAAGCAATTGACAAATCAAATAAATAAATAAATAAATACTGATTGCTGTTAAAAGTGTGATAAAAAATAAACCAGCAGAGGTCTCTCTATAGCTACATTGGACATTGCTCAGTGCTTAGAAAGCAACATTGCAAAAATCAAACAATTTAACTTTTCGCTTTTCCAATATAGATAGTTCACAGTTAAAGCTAGATTTGTCAGGCGCAAAAGACCAGGATCACATGTAAAGTTTCAATTAAACTGATTTATTATTTCTCATGCCTATACACAGGAATCAACTCAACTAATGGTTAGCACTATTTTGGTGCTGGATAAGGGTCAATTGAACTCAAGAGGGGTTAGACTTAGTCTGTTTGTGACTCTGTAGTGACTCTAGGTTCATCCATCTTTTGACTCTACCCTCAGGCTCTGCTACCTCTTTCTCCTACAAGTTATAAGAAATGACTTCCAGCATATCCAAAATTATTATTAGGATCTTAGCTCTTCAAAGGAGTAATTGGTCAAACAAAAATGGCATTGAATTAAAAGTAATGTCCAAGTGCAGTTGACATTCCAAATTTAGTAAATGGAAAAATAATATATTTTCTGTTGGGAGATACAGTTCTAAAAATGCCTGCAAAACTGTATTGGGTGTTGCAAGATGACTTTGGTAGAGTGTATGGCGCTATTTATATCTAATTAAGCAGCAATAGCTCATGATTCGTGTTTGTAATGTTCTGCTAGATGGAAAACAGAGTTCCCATTATAATTCATGATTTATCTTGTTCTGCAAGTGTACATGCATAAATAAAAAGAATTTATTTCACTAAAGAGCTAAATATGTACAACCAATATAGTAAGAACTATTAAACAATAAGATGTGGGCAGCCTAACCTCAGGAACATAAAAAAGGAAAACTGAATTGTTAGATTCAAGGCTAGAACATTTTCTGAAATGACTTAATATATTTTGATGCACTGCTCTAAAGCCATTGGAAGAAAGGTGAGAAATATATGTTATAAATGTAGCAGAGGATAGATATTGTATCTTCCTCAGGCAAGAGATCCCCAAATAAGCTGACCTGGTAATAAGAAAAAAGTTACTACTGCCATTGAGGAAAGAGAGACATGCCACCCAGGGTCAAAAAATATATATTCACCACATATCATGAATGCTTTGGAAAAAATTACTTTTTCTATCCTCTGCTACATTTATAACATATATTTCTCAAATTAATACCCTAGTGCTTTTTTTTTTTACCCCCTGATCATCTAACTCCCTTTCCTAGAACCTTTCTTTCTCTCTCTTCCTTAGACAGAAAAAAATAATTTAACTGCTGGTTCTATGTGATGCAGACCTTTGGTCTATCTTCAGCCTGTTGATTGTGCAGACACTCAAAAATACATCTTATGATGAATAAGTTGTGGATCTATTGTGCCACATCTAACTTCATCACATTCATCCTTAAATAAATGAATCTTTGGTTTTAATGAACCTCTGATTGCAGTGCTATCTCACAGTAATACGTTGACATACATATATAATTATATTTAGTGTTAATAATTCAATCTGAATTGGATTAATCAGTTGACATTTTCCTCTCCTGGAGTAATCTCAAGACCTGGCTGGGCACATGATGAATTCTTGTGTTTGGGTGCCAGCCTGGGATCTCTTTTTAGTAGGCTTTCATGCATGGGCTGCAAATATCCATACGATCCCTAAATGGCAATGTCTTTTTGCTACCATTGTGTAATCATCTGAATTATTGTTACTTGGTATAATAAAATGTGAATCCACTATTATGTACTGTAAATAAATAGAACTGATAGTTAGGAAAGTGCTTGTAATAGTCCAATTGAACAATTCACTGTCCTTCAAGCCATGCAAATAAATCCACGAGAGATTGGAGCCTTAATTAAAATCAGACAATGATATTTTCAGGACTAATATCAGATTGGACTGTATTTCTTGTGATAACCCATTTTGATTAATGTTACAGGAAACTGCTATACTGCTATTCTTTGTTCATGATCAGGCAAAGAGTCAAAGAAGAAGTGCGCTTGGGAAGATAAAAATAGGAAAGAAGATGACTGAGATTAGCAATTTCATAGGCAAAAAATAGACAAAATGAGAAACAGAAGAACTTTCTATCTCTCTATCTAGACCACCTATCCCTTGTAGTCCAGAAATTGTAAGGTGCTAAAGAGTCAGTGCAATGGAAGTCACAGTTCTAAGAAGATAAAAAGAAGTTAATTAAAATAAGATATGGTTGACTTTTGAGCAATCCTGCTTACCTTAATAATAGTCTATCCAGAAGCATTGTGACATTTGGTGAGTGCACAAAGTAAAACTATATCAAAAGAAATATGTTACCTGGGTAGAAAGAAAACTTGGTTTTGATATTAGTCACAGTTAACAGCTATTCTTCCCTTCTTTCATTTATGTTCTCTGATATATATCCCTGGTTGTGGTGAGAATTACATGATACACAAAGAATTGTTCTCATTCTCAACTGGTTTTGTTTCTCTTAGCAATATTTGCACAGTGTCACAAGCTTATTTATTCACAACTCAATCATTTGGGGTATATCACATACTTTTTGCATTGAAATGGTTTATAAGTTGCTGAAAGTCCAAGAGGCAGCTGGGTGTTTTTTAATTTTATGAATAACAAGCCACAATTTTAATTGGAAAATTTATAGTACCATCATAACTAGTTATTTATCTATCCGCACATGTTCATACATGTCCTTATTCATCTTTTCCTTATAATTAATTTAACAGTGTCATCATGTACTACCAATGTATTGTTACACAGTTTTCAAACATGCTTTGATTGTGAATGTCGGTCATAACTAAGTTGCTTTTGATGCTGGCTGTAACAAAGGACGTCCTAGTTTCCAATCACATCTTGGAGTAAACTGTAAATTAAATTAGTGTTGCAATCCCCATGCTAAAGCTGCACCAATCAGCTTTAGCATGGGGATTGCAACACTAATTTAATTCCAAATAATGTTAGTCTCAGCAGAAAGAATATAGAAACAAAATGTTTTAGCTTTTTTCACACTACGGTTTAATGTTCTTTTCTAAGGAAGTTTCTTTTGTTCTTTCTCCTCT